TCGCGGTGACGGCCGCCCTCTGTCTCACCACCAAAATAGTGACGGCTGTGAGCCGGGAGCTGTTCAAGAGGTTCAGGGAGTTCTCCGAGTGGGTCAGGCAACAGATTCATAGTCTGAGCGGACAGACCACTCTGAACACGAGTTTGCTGGTGAACGGCATGTCCTCACCCACTGTCCATAACTTATATCATAATAAGACTGATAAAAGAGATTAACTTAATCTCCGATTAAGTGTTTATTTGTGTTTGTGTTTCGCAGCGATTGGGAGACAAAAACTCAGTTTTTGGTGTGAAATAAGTTTTTTAGTTTTTATGGCATTTTTATATCTGGATTAACGTAATGTTTATGAGTAATAACGACTGGATTTCTGTGATCGGAAACACTTTATTATCAAACGATATATCAGTAATAATTTTGTTTCGCATTCATAGGAATAGTTTAGATTTTTTTGTATTTTAATATATACCCTGTAATAAGTAATAATCTACGAGATAATTATTTTGATTTGTAAATTTTCTTACCTATTATCTATAAATTATTAATTGATTTTATTTGTAATTTAAAACGCGATTTTTAATTTTTATCATAACTATAAGCGCCATATATTTATTATAAACGAAAAGTAAAAGCAATAAAATACTGAATAAAATGTGCGACAAATGAATGGATCAATTGTCCGACTATTTTGTTATGTAATCAATAAAAGTTTGAATTGATTTTAATGAAAAGTTTGTGTATTTATTGAGATTTTTAAAGCATTTGTGTGAACCTACAGGTAATGCTAAAAAAGGGTTTTCATGTACTGTACACACGATTACCTAATAAAGCAAGTAAAATAGTTTATAACTTTTATAAAAACATTTGGTATTAGTATCACGTGATAAATACTGTAGATTTAGAGCCTAATTATAATATCTATATTTATATATTTACGGTATTTATAAAATGAACTAAAAATTAAAAGCCATTTGAAATAAAAAAAACTTAAAACATTGGCCTCAGATCCAGGTGCTGTTCGGCGGCGCCGCCCTCGCGAATGGGTCGCATGGTTTTACTTCGGAGCGGCGTTAGGGGACCGGTAGTCGCTCGCTGTGACCTCCGCTTAGAAGTGTTGCGAGTGTTGGGCGACCACTCGTTTCGGACTGTCATCCAAATTACGGCAGAAAAGCATTAATCAAAAGATAATGGTCTTCAAAATTATTGCAAACACTTCATACCGTACGACAGCTCAGCGCTGACTATCATGTTATGGTAGGCCTCCTCCGGTATGCCGAACAGCGCCTCCATGAGCCCGATCTGGAGCTTCACTTCGAC